AGTTTGACTCGAAAAAGTCAAACTGGACAAATACATTGGGACGGAGGAAGTATTCATTTTTTTCCGTGCAACTTTTTGTTGTCACAATTCCTTGCAAAGTAGCATTTGTTTGAACTATTGTTCGTGTTCCAGGGACCGGTATGGCATATCATCAAAAAAGGACAAGACATTGTGTACCGTTATGATAGTCATTGCCGTGCTATCAAATCTGATTGCTATATACAGCGACGCGTATGCCTTGCTTAAGAAGAGTGCACCGTTGCGCGTATGATTTCTCATGTTGTCACTTGGTGGCTTCGTCATCGTGCACATGGTTTTTATAATACACTCCGTTATATAGATATAGGGAAAGTGGCATTTTTTATTGGAGTTGAGTTTGAAATAAAGGTGTGAATATGTATGTAGAGTTTGCTTTGTATAGACCCGGCCGGGCACTACTATTGCCTTCACGGTATATCTGTTTGTACCATTTTTTTCATAGGAGGGACCGCCTTAGCCTTAGCGCAACGGTTCAAGGGTTTTCATGGGACTCTGAGGTCACAAGTTCAAGCAGCCTCATGTGAGGTAAGATTTTCTTATATCTCATCTTCATTGGGCCCTACTTTTGTGGGATTAAACTGGGTTGTTGTTGTTTGGACACCTTTATGGTGTGCGATGCGTGCTCATCGGGATGCTTTGTGAATTGGGATGTTCTCTTTTTGCTCTGTTTTTATTCAAATGTATTGCGAGTTGTATAAAAGAACGAATGGTTGCCATGGATGTTCATGGCTTCTCTTCCAATGTCTACATATGTTCTTGGTATGGCTTGCTCTTTGGTTTCCTTATCTTAGTTGCCTTCTCAATATCCCACATTTTACTTCGTTTGATATTAGTTTTCGCGTTTTGAAAATGTTAGTCGAAAATAGATCTTTTAGTTTTAATATTTTCAAAGTTAATTTGAACCATATAGAAAACTTATCCGAAATGTTAATGTTAGTCACAAATGTTGTTCCCAACCAAAACCTTGTTACTATCATACATGAATTAGTACATAAATTAGTTGCAAATCATTAAAGTTGACAAACCATTGGAATATTGGTCTAAGACTATGTTCTTCTTAACTTATTTTTTTATTTATTACTTATTTTTATAGTCAAATAGTAATACTTTTTTAATCATAAATTAAACATAATCTAAATAAATAAATATATAAAAATTTGATATATCAAAATTATATCTTAAGATGATTCTAATTATATCTAATTTTATCACAATTTATAGTTAAAGAGTATCACTGTTTGACTTAAAAAGTCAAAGCATGAAAAAATTGTTATGACTGGAAGGAGTATAAAAAAGGAGAAAATGTGAAAAATAAGTACATAGGTACTTTATACATTTAGATAATACTTTGGACATTGCACATCATACATTTTAAAATGAGTATTATGTTAAATTAAAATGCATTTTAATAACAAAAGAGCATTCATTAACAACATAAATAGCAAAAACATGATAAGATTATGAAATGCGCGTTGCCCTCACCAATAACTTTTGAATAAGATATGGATATTGATTAATGAGCATCTCCTTCAAAATGTCAAAATTTAAATGTGCATTATTTTTTCTTATAAAAGTAAGATAACAATAAATATCCTCAAAAACTTGTTACAGAAAAATGGTTGCACTTTAGTATGGTTGCAACTTGCAATTATCCAATAACAATCCTTTAAATAATGAGATAAAATGACAGAAAAATCTTGAAATTAATGGATTGTTATTGGTTAATTGCAACCATACTAAAGTGCTTTTCAATGGCTGATCGCAAATCTCTCATGCAAGAATTAAGCATTCCTTGGTTACGTTCTTCTCATTCTTTTTCTTATTCATCTTCAAGTATAAGTTTTTTTGTAATAAAAAAATCAATTTTTTTAAATATCAATGTGTTATCTTTGGCAAATTTGATGCCCACGAAATCTCACACCAAATTTTTGAGAAACACAGCGCAAATTAAAAGGATCCATTTGAATGCATGCAAGGTGTTTGATTGAATGCCGCTTATGCAATAGCCTCCCTGTTAGAAACTTGGTTTGATTATTATATTCAGCATGCTGGCCATGAACCAGATTAAGAATTAAAGAAGCATTGAAAGAATGGAGGAGGAGAAGTCAGGGGAAAACAATGGAGCCACCACTCGCCACCGCCGTCGTTATCTAGCCAGAGAATTCGGTTCCAGGTTCCGGTCGCCTATTCCGTCTACAAGGCGTAGCCTTTCCCCAAATGTGAGGCAAGCAACAGCTGATGAAGAAACAGTTTCATCAGATGATCGAACGCGGCCATCGCCAGAAGCTATGAGGAACCATTCCCTTGGTGATGGTTTGTTGTCAGTGAAAGGGGAAGGAAATCGACCCGCGTCGAAGAAAATAGATTCTTTGAAGTCTAAGGTTCTTGATCCACAGAGATGGCCAAGCACAGCAGGTGGGAAACCACCTTCAGAGTCAATTAAAAAAAAGGTACTGATGATGGATTCGAACCACTTTTTGATGAAGACTGTCTTTGGATGCAGCTAATGAACCAACACAAGAATCTTCAAGAATGCTACCACTTGGTAAGGATGAGAAGGAAGAGGTTGGTTCTCGTTCGGTTGAAGAAAATTCACTGAAAATAAGAAAGGGGTCTCGTCCTGCCTCGCCAACAAGAGGAAATATGCAATCTTTGCCTATATCAGAGAGTTCCAGATCATTGAGTAGCCTACATTCTGAGCTGCTAGATAGGTGGCCAGGTAGAACATGTGGGAAAGTTAGTTCTGATTCATCAAATAGTGGTGCTGGTGGTAAAACTGATAGAAGTAGTGGAACTAGTTTACGAGCTCGCGCATTGTCTCTTGATGAACTTTCCAAACCACTGCAGAAATCTCCCAGTCAAGGTGTGGGAGAGAATTCCACTTCAATAGATAGTCTACATTCCCAGTGGTTGAATCAAAGTAGATGGCCAAGCACAACAGGTGAGAAAACATCTTCAAATCCAATGAACAAAGAGTGCGACTCGGGTAAAAGTAACATAAGACCTACATCCCCCTTACAAAGGTTGTCTTCAGATGGAGATACCAAAATGGTACATAAATTATCCCGAGAAATGCAGCCATTTTTGCCATCACCTGAAGGTAAAAAAGCTGGCTTTGGGTCGCACTCAATAGTTTCACAGCCATCACGAAGAGAGATAACATCATTTGTAAATCCTGGCTCCCGATCTCGCCCAACCTCACCAAAAAGAATGCCTACATTGCCTCCTTCCACATTTCCCATAAGAGTTATTCCATCTGACTTGAAGGCTATAGCAAGTGATGCATCATTTTCTATGGCTCTGTCACAAAGATTGTCTTTGGATGGAGCTATTAAACCACTACAAAGTTCTTCTGGTGACATGCTACCAGTAATAGCATCAAATGAACATACAGGAGGCTTGGGGGTTAGTTTGGTTAATAGTAACACTTTGACACCTGAGAAAAAAAATACACCATTCCTGACCCCCAACACCCGATCTCATCCTACTTCACCAGAGAAAGCAACTGAACTTTCGTCCTCTGTATCTGAAGCAGTTAGTCCATCTAGCAAAAAGGTTATGGCAAGTGATAGATCGATTTTTATAGGATCAAAAACACCCCCATTACAGAGAATGTCTTTGGAGAGTGAAAAAGGGATGTTCAAGTTTCGTTCGGTTGATGATAATTATCTGTTGCTACAAAGAGAAAGAACAACATTGGTGAATCGTGGCACACGATCTCGTCCTGCCTCACCAAATAAAGCATCTTCTCCGTATTTCTCTGCATCTAGAGCAATCCCGTCTCAATCAAAGGCTATAGCAAGTGCCTCATCTAGAGGAGTTAGTCCTTCTAAGGTCAGGCCATCTAGCCCATCAAGACCACCCAATCCAGCGATCATATTTTTATCAGATATTCAGGAAAAAGATGAAAATCTAACGGAAGATGCTCATCAGTTAAGGCTATTACAGAACAGATACTTGCAATGGCGGTACGCTAATGCAAAAGCAGATGCTGCAATATATGCAGAGAATGTTGATACACAGGTTGACTTTATTTTCTGCTTCTTCCTATTCATCCATAACATATTTCACCAGTTTTTAGTTGGGTTTATATTTTGCCACAGGAAAATGCATATAATATGTGGAACACTATTTCATGTTTGTGGAGAACAGTAACTGAGATGAGAACTAAAATTCAACAGCTGAAGCTGCGATTGAAGCTACACTCAATTTTGAATGAGCAGGTAATGAATGTGTGTGTAAATTTTTTACTTGCCTTTGATTCTTACCTTGTCTACTACCTGACTGCCACTTTTTTTTTAAACTACTTCAATGTACCTCAGATGTCTTACCTTGAAAAATGGGCTACAATTGAAAGGAACTATATACGCTCAGTATTGCGAGCTAGCCGAGATATGAAATCATGTGTCTTGCTTCTTCCAATGACAGGAGGAGCAAAGGTACGTAATTCCATTAGTGACGACTCATGTAAAGTTGATGGGTTAAACAAGATACACACTTGCCCACATACATGTATTGACTTTATTTTCTTGGCTTATTTAGACTGATATTCAATCTCTAAAGTCAGCTGTTAGCTCAGCCTTTGTCATGGGGCAGTATGTGGAATCATCAATATATTTAATGCTATCACAAGTAAGTATCATAATATATTCCTTAGAATCTCATACTCCGTATAAGCCATTTATGATCTTTCAGGTTAAATAAATCGTCATATGTTATCCACCAAATGATCTATCGATTTTGCATGTGTATATAACAGCTGGAGGGGACAAGCTTTCTTGCTTCTGAACTTGCTGGCATTGTGGCACAAGAGAGAGCTCTGCTTGAGGAATTTGAATTGCTGATGGCTCCAATAGCAGAGATGCAGGTGAAGTCGCTCACAATTTTTTTCATAAATTTCATTAAAATGTTACTCTCCGTAGCGTTATAGTAATTGAACTTGCGTGTGAATGTGGCCAAACAAACCAAGATTGCTCTGTCATCATAGACTCTGTTTGGAACTCTGAAAATGACCTGAAAAGAAAAACAGGGAGAAAATAACAGGGGACAGTTTGAAGGAAAGTAAATGTCGAGGAAAATATAACGTTGGTTCAAAATCAATTAAGTTACTGCTGATATTTGTTCACTCATTTTATTTATATATTTCTAGTCTAGTATAGTAGTATATAAATGACTAAGAAAGTTAAACATTTGTATATATAAAAAAAGCATTAGTAATATTTTGTTTTCCTTCGTTTTTTTCCAAAGGAAAAACCAAACACAATTTTTTTTTCCTTTTTCTAGCATTTTCAGGGATCCAAACATATCAACAGTAGACCTAGTGCTAACTTTAAAAAGTATTAAATTATGTTTTCTATCTCTTTTACCCATTATTTTTTATATTATAATTGCTTGATTTTATATTGGCTTAAAGCAGGTAGAAGAATGTAGCCTTAGGACTTATCTTATGCAGTTGGGAACAAATATGCAAAGGCGGTAACCATTGATGTGATCTTCTGCTAATATATAATCCACAAAAGGATTGCAGAGAGTGTACATGGATATGTAAGTAGGAATGCATAGTTTTGTCTTCTTCTTTGGCTTACTTTATATCCTTTTACTAACCCTTTTTGTCAGTTTAGCCTCTTAGTTATAGAAATGCCTAACTGCAGCCCCTCTACAAAAAGGCAATCAAGAGATGAGGAATAAGTTATATAAATTCTTTTCCCTTAATCTTTTGGTGGTTATCTTAGTCTCTGCCCTTCTTTTTTGAATTCCTCATTAGATCTTGACATGTTTGGATAGAGGTGTATCGTTGTTTACGAAAGAAACACAATGTGATTGGATATATAGAGTTTATAGATAAACATGAAAAACACGGGGTTGACTTGGATGCGTTCTGATAAGCCTTTAGTTAATTTTTTACTGGTATTTGTATAGAATTTCCTAATCTACATTTTTCTGGAACAATGTCAATGTGAATAACAATTTCAATACATCTTTACTGATCTGTGTATCCACTCCCCCCAAAAATGGTGTTTTAGTGATGCATGATGATTAGTTTGTTGGGATTAGAAACCATATCCCTTAAGGTACTCCAAATATTGGACTGTTGTGGTATACTAAATTCGTACCCGTGCGATGCACGGTAAGAAATTCAATCAATAATTAATTTATTTACTAATATTCAAAAATAATCAATAAGTACATTATTTCATAAATATATTACTTAGTTTGTACCAAAAAATATTTCTTGGTAAGAAATAAATGGTGTGCTATTATTGATGATCTACAAATACAAATCACTAAAGAAAGTAATTGCAAAAACTAAAGAAGAACCATCGTAACAGTCCCAAGAACTCAGCCTTGGGAATGAAGACTCATTTTTTATCACAAAAGATATACTCCGTAATTTTTAAAGAAAACAAAACTATAAAGATTGGATCATCAAAGATATTTTTTCAGTAAATAGCTAAGAAAGAAAATATGTTCATTTCTCATCAAAGTAAAATCCAAGAAGGCCTAAGAACTGGATTACTGGCATCAATATGTTACTTGAGATTCAAAAATTTAGGGAAAATAGATATGACACATATTATAGTATTTTGGAATAGGTGAATGTTCTTTTTTTTGTTCTCTTTTTTCATCTATCATATACTTCAATATGCGTTGAAAATACTCCATATTATCTTTCGATAAATGAGCATAAAGAGTAAAGTGAACAACACAAAAAAACAGAAACATCACAAAAGCTTTTGAAGGCAGTTTGAATGGCCAATGTTAGATTACATTATCACAGGGATGGATATCTTCTCTCTTGGGAAAACTTCAGGTTAGTGTTTCTTAATTTCAACCTGAAAGATAGCCCTTTAGTACTCTGTGATTTTAAAATACATGCTTTGCATGNACAAAAACAAAAGAAGGTGGTGGCACCGTGGCGGTGGTGTGGTTTCATGGTTGGCTGATCCTGGCATGATAATTGTGGCGATTTGAGTCGTCTTTGGCTGCCTTGTTTGCCACACGAAACTGCAAAATGTACTTGTAATCTCCCTCCTCCGGTGGTGGTTCGTTTAGATCTGCCCAATTGCTACTTACCCACCTACACACACACAAAAGTATCCATAAGAATGACAGTAAATATAGTCCAAAGTGTATAGGAGAGTTAATCTCAAACCACCAGAATGTGTGTGGATCAGTTTCTCCAAAGAAATGGTTTCACTGACTGTTCTTGTGTCAAGAAGAATGTCCTTCATCTGGGCACTACCAGCTGAACTTGATCTTGGGCACTGCTCTTTCTACTCGTCCTCATGCTTCTTCTTCTTCTATAATCTCCAATACCCATCACTTCCTCCTTTGTTAAGGACTTGTTTCTCTGAAACATCACTGAAAATTCCAAAACCTTTATGTAGATGGATTCATTCCTTGGAAGAAAAATGGAGCTTTTTTTAGTAGGATGATATGGTCAAAATTGTTGAAGTAGTTTGATTAAGAACTCATTAATGACCAAACTCAAACCTAAAAAAATACTGAAATCCCAATACATTCTTATGGGTGTTGATGTATCAAAATAGTGACAGAATGTAGAAACAAAATGTCATCATAATGGGTCTTGATATATCAAAATAGTTGGCAAATATAGAGCATACCTTCATGGGTTTTTTTTTTTAAATGCCATATTGAGAAAAAATCATAGATAAAGATGCATATGTAATTAAGAAAAGGGGAATTTACGTAAATAACACTAAAACAAAATGATTTTCTCTAAATAGCATCACATGTGTTTTTTTCCAATGTAGCACTTTTAGTCATTTTCCATTAGTCATTATTCAAGTAAATATTCGCCATCACTGGACATTATGGTCATTATGAAATGCTATTTAAGGAATAAAATAATTTAAGTGCTATTTAGAGAAATGACTTAAGTTTTAGTGCTATTTAGTGCAAATATTTCTTAAGAAAATGCATTTAAAAACTGAAAACTCTCAATTGACATCCAAATATATTATAGAACTATTAATGTCTTAATAGTTTCATTCAAACTTCAAATAAAGCACTTAAATAAATATCTGGTGCTTGCGCAAAAGCTAAATTCATCAGAAGGAAGAGGATAGGATCTGATGAATACCTGGTTTGGACTGCTTTTCTTCTTCCATGGCCACCATCCCCAAATGTGTGGGGTCTTCTAGCATCATCTTTGCCACCAGGTATCCTGCAATGGATCAATATCTGGTGTTTGCGCGCCTGCTTCCCCACGAACCTCCCCCACTTCCCGTCGTAGTATTCCAGCCACCCGTATTTCGGCAGCTTTGCCTCTGCCTGCTCATCTGCCCGTCTCGCCACCTGAGGACTCCCTGTCTTGATGCAAGCTGCAGTCACCAGCTAAAGTTTTCTCCCGGCCAAGATCCACCATTGTGGCAGGTCCACCTGGTGTTCTTTGGGTCACACCTAGTCAGAATGCGCCACTCGTGCCCTTTAATCCCAGGGTAGCAGACCTTCATGGGCATCTCCCCGACCAGCTCGTGCCATCGACACTCAATCAGGTCCATGGTTTTCGACTCCCGGTTGGGCGTAGCCATGGAAGAGAGGATAGGCCAGTGGGAATCTCCAACCATATCCCACAAACGTTCATTGAGTTAAATCTAGAAAGATGAAGTAAAAAAGATATTTTCACAGTAAAAAGTAAGCTTCCAAGCAATCAAAAAGCATGACTGTGAACTCAAGATGCTAAAGTGGGTAAAACACCTGAAGAATTACAGAAATATAGGTGTCTATATATTAGAAAGAGGGTGAAGTGTGTTGTGTAAATTATCACCTCCATTTTACTAAAAATAGCGCAATAGAATTCTTTGCTTTGCCACTGCAAATATCCAACTGCCCAATAATCAAATATATCCTCCACTTCAACCTCTTACTGCAACAAATTATACACAAAATCTATGAACAATAAATTCAAATAAAAACTATATACTTAAAAAGTATCGTTTTTAAGAATAAATTTATTACCATTTAACCCTTATTCTTTGAATCAGTTATAAATGAATAAAACTGAGCTAATAAGGACGCAAGTCTTTTTTAAAAAAATTGAAAATATTACATTTGACCCTTTTCCTTTAAATGCCATAGGGAGTGGATGGTCTTTATCACCTTGTTCTTCTTCTAATTCTTCATCTCGATTTCTTGTGGCCTTGCTCAATTTCAATAATTAACATTTTACTTTTCAAAAGAACAACTGAGCAACAAAATTTAGCACACAGCTGGAGGCCAATAAAATACATATTTGTAGGTAAGGAATCTAGTTTGTCCTCACTGCAAAATGTAGATTTTCCCTTTGCTGCCAAGATAAAGGAATAACATCATACAAAAAATAAAGTTAAATATGTCCCCCTTCAAGTTTAGTTCAACCTCTTTTTTATGAAGTGTGAATAACAATCAAATTACAGCAAAAAACAACAAAAAAGAGGAAAAATTCAAGAAAACCACTTCCTAATTTGCCAAGACCTTTTATTCTGTTGCAGTACCCAAAGATTACATCTTAAAACCAATTATTGTACAGAAGTTGGAACCAACAAATTGTTGCTCAGGAGCTTCATATAGACTTACAAAGAAGTAGGACCCACATTCGTCATCGGTGCTTGCGGTACCATCGCAGATATGAGCCACCGCTGTTTAAAATCCAGACCTGCCGGAATCCATGGTCACAGCTTGTGGTTGTGTCGTCGCCCCCTGGTTCAGCGGACGTATAGAAACCCTAGGCGGAATTTCCAATTTATTTTATTGAATGAACAAATTGGAGGAGATGAGAATGAATAATGGAAGGAGATAGCTCTGATAAGCTTATGAGACACTTGATTTCTTCAGAAGATAAGCGAAGGGGAAGAAATTTAAAGGAGAAGATGAATTGATGGAAGAAACGCAATTCGGAAGAAGTATGGCGTATACCTCGAGAAAAGCAGGTTAGCTTCTCCCATACGCTCCCTCTGATCAATGTCACTACTCTCTTTTTACTGTACCTCGCACTATTCGTTCCTTGTGAACAGCTGGCTAAAAAGACAGGACACCCTATCCATTCATGCTAGCAGAAGCCCAAACCCGACCCGTTACTGTGTGTAATTGGATATCAAATTTTAGGCGGGAACACTGTTCCAATTTGCATCCTATCTTTGTATATAGATAGATGTTTAACAAGTTTTTATCTCATGCTTGGCTTGATGTTTTATATAAAAAAAGATGGGAGAAAATGAATAAATAAGTGACTTATAGTCATAAATTTCATCTATACATCTATATCACTATGATATATTCTTTCTGTCCTAAAAAATACTACGCTTTTCTTTTTTGGTTGTTCCAAAAAAACATTATGCACTTTTTTTTTGCTTTGGTAATGAATATGTGGCTCAAAATAATGTCCTCTAATCTAAATAAAGTTTGACCATACACTCTTTTACTTTTCAACAACTTTCTTAAATTCTACTCCGTATAAAAGTCAAATAACAAGGTTTTCATTCTATACAATGGCATGAGAATGTTAAGAACGATTAACTTTAACTTCAAAATTAATAAAACAAATAAATGTGTATCTAAACGACACGTCTTTGGGTAATGTCATTTTATGTATGTATGTAGACCACTTAATCATACTGAGTAACAATTACGTAGTATAAAATGATCAAATATATCAAGAACATGTTGAACTCATGGTTTGATATGAAGGACATGAGGATGCTTGAAGTATTCTTAAGAATTAAAATTTTGAGAAGACCACATAACATCGCCCTGAATTAATTCAACTAACTATATTCACAAAATCTTTGATTAGTTCAACAAGTATGATGCCAGAGTGGTTAAGACACTATTGGACATCAATGCTCATTTGGCAACAAAAATTGAGGCAGCAATAACACTCTAAGGCTGATAGGTATGGTTTAGGCCATAACGTCTACTCAGTGTTACGCTAGCATTTTTCTTTCCTATCACTGGACAGAGGTGTGTATCACGCCTTTTTTTTTAATTTTTTTCATTTATTTAAATCGTCATTACTCAAATAAAAATATTAAATAAATATTACATTAAGATTAAAATTAAAATATTTGTCCTATTTGTGGTAAATCGAATGAGACTGAGGATCATATCTTCTTGCACTGTTCTTTCTCGAAGTCAGCCTGGAAGTCCTTGTTGCTTCATTGTGCAGGGAATGACGAAATCGTGGGTGATAGTGAGTGAGAGTTTGGTTAAGGCGATTTCTGGCGAAAAAAATCTAATGGAGTAAAAAGTTAACCCAACTCACTTGGCTGTTTTAAGCTCAGTGTTTAGGTCCTGTTTGACATCGTTAAAGAAGTTAAAGAAGCGTTAGCATTTTAAAAAAATTATCGATAGCCAGCGTTAGTATTTTTTTTTATAGAATTACACCATTAAAATTTGTTCTAATCCAAAACTTTCTGCGCCTTAGCTTCTACGTCGCTACGCAATAATACGAGTCGCCGCTGGTCCGTCTGCTGACACAGAAGGTTCATCGCAGAACACCGGAAAACAAATCAAACGATTGCTCAATCTCGTCTTCATCTAGTGCATCCCAATCACGAAGCAATTTCAATTGTGCCTTTTCTTCCAATTCAGAGGTATTTGGGTGTTTTGTTCAATTTTGTGTGATTTGAGTTTATTTTATCGGTAATTCGAATCGGAGGTACTGTGTTGATATACGTGGATTGATACTGATTCAACCTGTACTTATTATATGGAATTTGTAATTGAAGATTGGTTTTCGTCATAATCAAGAATCTATTTTTTAATTATTGCTTTGAGTTTCATTTGAAAGTATAGATGCTCTGCTATTATGAGTAAACTGAGCTCCTGTGATAAAAGCTTGTTGCCAAATGTTTGATTTAGGGAGACAGTTTGGAGACTTACTGATTTTTTATCTGTTAAATGAAAAAGTTTCTCTTTGATTGACAATGAGCCTATTTTAGGGGAAAAATACCTAGAATAACTTTCATTGATATCTTTTATTATCTTAAGGTGTACTGAGTATTTAATATTTTGCACTTTATATAGTCTTTTGTCAATTATGTGTTTCTTGAAATTAGTATCACCAGCTTCACTCATGGGTGATGGATGGGTTGGGTAATGGGTGATGTATGAAACGAATGATGGACAGATCAGGTGATAGATGCAGAGTTAATGAATGGATGAGGGTGAAGCTCTACTTGATCCAGACCCGACCCATTGCCTTCCCTAAACAATAACACAAAAACACTTCCATACAATGCTGGATGAATTTGATAACTCTAGCCTGCTTAGGCTAGTGGGGGCCTGCGTTTTCTTCTGTCTATGGAACCCAAGTTAGATTTTCACTTTTAGGGTCTCTTTGGTTGGGAGAATATATTTTCTCATAAAATTAATTTTCAAGGGTAAATGATATCCAAGAAAAAATATTTTTCATCACATTTTTTATTGTTTGGTATGAAGAAAATGTTTTTCCCAAAAAAACAGTTCTCATTGTTTATATTTAGAAAAATATTTTGAAACAATTTATAAATATCATAACATCACGTGAGAGCAGGTGACATGGGGTGGTTGGGTGTGTTGGTGCAGGGTGGTGGGGGAGAATGGGGCTGGGGTAGGGGTAGAGGTGACGAGTGGCAGGTGGACGGGGGTGAGTGCAGGGGCAGGGTGGGGGTGAACGGGGGTTGACGGGGGAAGGGTAGGGCTAGATGGGGGTGGAAGGGTAGGGGTATGGGGTGGGGCGGGGGCAGTCAGGTTGAGGCGATAGGCTGAGGTCACGGGGATGGATGAAGATAACGACAGAGAGCAAGTAAACATTTTCTATTTGAAAGCAAACAGAAATCATATTTCTCATGTTGATCGAAAATATTTTTCTTCCAAAATTATGTTATTTAATATTAAAAATTAGAATTAAGTTTTTTTGGAAAATATTTTTCCCCTTCTCTGGTCTGCCATTATTGAACTCCGTAAGACAGTCCAAGCCTTGCCTCCAACCTGTTCAACACTATAACGCCCACAGTTGGATCCCCCGCTGCTGCACTGCCCGCACGCCCTCTCGCTGCCGGTCACTGTCCGGTAATGGTATATCCAACAGCTCAATGTGATTTTTTTTCCAATAAACATTTGAATTTAGGGTTCTTTTTATTTGTGATTGTGATCCTGGTTTTAAATTAAATCTTTTATTATATTAAGTTTTTTTTGTTTTTTATCTTTTAAATGAAAAATGGGACTTGTGTCCATTTTTTTGTTGTGATGAATAATAAATATGTTGTATTTTTATAGTTATGTTGTACCACTCAACAATTTGTAAGCTTGTAGTGAATTTTGGTTTTAACTACACAAAGGTACAAGATTGGGTTGAGGTCTTGACCATTCCGGAGGACAAGTACTAATGTGCTATGAAGCTAGGACAATGCATGCAATATGATTGCTTCTTACAAAATGATTTCTCCCATTAATTATATTGTTCCAAATAAATGTAAAAGTGTTTTTTCTTCTGATATTTTCAAGAGTGATTGAGTCTTCAATGTTTTGAAATGAAAATGTTTTTATAGAAAGCATTATATATTTATATGTAAAGTTTTAAGTTTGAGTAAAAGTAAGTTGCCAATTCGTGTAATATTTGTTATCTGGGTTGGAGTGTTACACGTCCACTTATTTAATTGTATAATGCAGTGTACAAAACATACAACTTACTCCTTCTCAAAACCTATATTACCTGCTATTCACTCTTGACTTTTTCATAAGATTTACTGATTTAGTTGAAGCATCACAACAGCCCAACAAGGGACTTGAACAACATAAAGTAAGCCTATGAACAATTTGATATTTAGTTATTTACTCATTTGTTGGTTGTTTGGATCTTGCAGTTTAAATCATTTGGAAGCATATCAGAAAGTGAGAAACATGAAGATCTAATGTTTCATGATTTGTCAGATGGAGAACATATATGACATAGTTGCCAGCATCCCAGGGATGGAAGCAAATGAAACAGGAACAATTGGTGATATTGAACAGTACAAGTGCAGTGTTGATGATATGTCTGTAAGAATTGATCAAGTAAGGTTTTGTATATACTTCTTTTTTCTATTATTGTTCTTGAATTAAGTCTTGAGCAGAAGAAAAAGGCTGCTATGTATATAATGAAATTTCAGTGCTTAAGATTCTTTGTCATTCTACTTTGTACTTAGTTCCGAGGCCTTATTCTCTAGTCTCTACATTAGATCTTTATTGTTCTCTGTCATTTCACATTTTTCTTGAAGCCTTATTGTCTTTTTTTTTCTGAGTTTCTAGTTCTTATAATACCTTTGCAGCTTGACCAGAGGTTTGCTGAAGTAGAACAATTCTACTCAAATGTGAATAAAAAGATGTCAAACACTCCAAAGGGTAGCTCAGTCCTGAAGGATATAGAAAAAGAGAAGCAGATCGCTAATTTTAAGAAGCGACAGCAAGATGCATCACATCGAGAGGCTGCTGCTGCCAAGAGGATGCAAGAACTAATTCGCCAATTTGGGACAATATTACGCCAAGTAATTTATGTTCTTTGCAAGGATCTTTGCTGATTCTTTTGTTCAATATTGTAACTTTGAATTTTTTTTTGCGACTTTGTGTAGATATCATGTTAGAAAACTGGAGTTAAAAATCTAACTAAGGTGTTCAAAATGTTTAGAGTTTATGGGATTTGTATTTATAATGCAGATGTGAGGTGAAATATGAGTACAAGGTGCTAGAGACTTTCAAATGTTTGTGCACAATAAGTGTAGTGAGTTGTTATTTTTTAAGCTTACAAACTGAAAAAATGACAAGATTTCATTTAGGCAAGTACTGGTGGGGTAGGCTGTTACCTAGTTTTACTATTCTTTTAGTGCTTCTCCTCTTGTCGTCATGAATCTGTGTTGTGTCAAATTTGACTACATGAAAGGAAAAAGAATAACGAATTCTTATCCCTTTATTTGTCAGATCACTCAGCACAAATGGGCGGGGCCTTTTATGCAGCCGGTTGACGTTG